AGAGATACCATTGTAAATTATTTGAGAATAAGAGCTATCTTGTAGATTTTACGAAAACATAATCACTCTTTTGACAACTGCTTTGTTAACTGCTCCAGGACTTTCACCAAACTAATGCAAAACAGAGTTCACACTCCTTTTTTAAGAAGACCTAGTTAATTGCCTGAAGAATATAAATCTCCAAATGTCTTCCTTACTTGTATTGCACATCAGTTCCTGACACTACAAAACACTGAAATCAACAGACAGGAGCAGGCAGTTGTGGCTGGAGTACGTGCAATGGAATGAGGAATCATATATTCAGTAACGCCTTCAGAGACAGGAGCATGTTCTTAAGTTCTTTTTCTATTATGAGCAATTCTGCACTGGGTAATTTCCCATTAATTGGATAGCTGGATCAAATAACATATGGATTCAACTTGCTAACACATTTTGTCAAGTTGACTATCAAAAACTGTGCTAGTTTACATCCCTACCAAGCTTATCTATTTTCCAACATTCTGATTAGTTTCCATTATTCTTATCTGCATTTTTCATATTTTTGAGTGAAATTCAGCACCATATATTTATTGTTTATTTTTAGTGTGTGTCTGTGTAGGCATGTAAACTGCACTCATATTCTTAACTTATTTTACTCTCGGTTTATCCACCTATCCAATTAGAAGCATTTTACTAGCATATTTGAAATTCATATGCCATCACGTTTTTTTTTTTTTTTTTATTTGTGTCCTCTTTAGGTGGTTTTCCTTGACAGAGTTATGAATGTGCATATACACACTTGTGTTTGGCGAGGGTTAGGGATCTGATCTGTATGAACATGCAGGTGCTGCTGTGCAGAGCAGGAAAGGCAGCTGGCTGTCCCTGTGGCCTACCACTGCATGTGCACGTGGCCTGTCAGATCCATGCTTAATTTCTTTGACTTCATTGATTAATATACAGATTAGGGAATAATTTTAGAAATAATCTGACACAATGTCTACATTTTAAAATTGAAGAATTGAAGCCCAGTGATGTTGAAATCATTCTCATTATTACTAAAGCATACTGTCAGCTAAAATGACAGCGAAGTGGGAATAGAACTGGGTTCTGCTAACTCATGAGTTCCGTGAAAGCATAAATTTATTGATTCATTCATATCATCTATCAATCAAGCAATATTCAGTGTTATATACCATGCACCAGGCACTCTTCTTAAAACCCAATAGAAGTGATGCGATCCATTATGATTTATCCTGTCAAGCCTCTCTTCCAACATGACAATTTTATATTCTATGTTCTTCTGGTATTGGTGTTATTACACAAATAAATTTCTAGGACTACTTCGAAAATATAAGTAGATTAATGTATGACCTATATATACATATATATTTAATTCCCTATTATACAAGGCTATTCTATTCACTGACTATGTTCTTTGGTTGTTTCACCCCCACGGTCTCTAAATGATTTGGATTCTCACTCTCCCAAGGCTGAAAAGCATCCTAATTGCTTTTTCTACAGCTCCTTTTCCCCAGGAGAATCAAAGTCATTGCTCATAACAGAAGATTGATCATGCTACTTTCTTCCATTAAAAAGCAAGTTAATATATTTAAAATAATGGGTTTCTATTCCTACTGATGGAAAAATCATCTAACCCACTGCAAGGATGTAGGAAGCCTGACTCCTGGGTTTCTGTGTCCCTTCCTTTCCACTGTGCTGCTAGAGCACTAGGCTGTCCTGGCACATGTGAACTTACTGCTCGAAAGGCTATTTCAAGCCTCTGTGCTCTCACCCAGATGATCCTGCTGCTGGAGGACACTTGTACCCCCAATATCTGGAGAAAGACTCCTCTCCTATCATGTCCCAGTTCTGCTATCACTTTTGATGAGAATGATTTCAGCATCTCTTTTGTCCCTTTTTGTCTCTGCTCTCAAGCAGAGAGCATTTGCTCACTTCTCTTTATTTTCATAGACTTAGCACATCTCTATTTTTGAAATGCAATATATTGTCTGTTATTCTCATGGACCACAGAAATCTTTGACATCAAGAATCTTCCAGTTTCATTTTTTGTGCATCCAGTGTCTGCCATGAAGTCCCAAATGAGTGTTTAGATACTTGATATGCACGTATGCATATGTGTACATTCATACATATCTGCAACACAAATACTGTGCACACAATAGACTAAGTAGGCAACCTGACATAGCTTATGGCCTTCAGTCATTTTTTAAACACTAAATTGGGAATTACTAGTCTTGAGGATTTTTTTTTTTAGATTTTATTTATTATTTATGCTTACAGAACTGGGGTACAAGTCAGAGTTGTGGGTGAGAGAATTCACCAGAGACAGAGTAGGGAGCAGAAAGGCCGACTGACGAAGTACACTGCTGAGGGGAACAGTGGGCAGGTTAGGAGAGGTCTGCCTAGCCATGCGAGTCACCTCCCTAGTGGGGGATCAAATTTGTGCTGCAGTGGCTTCAGAGAGCTTCATAATGTGCTTTAACCAGTTGCGCCACCAGAGAGAGCCCTAG